CATTCTGGTGAAGTCCCAAGGCCCTATACAAGCCTTTACATCAAGAATAAATGTCAATTTAAGAGTTTATATTCCAGCTATATCAGAAAATATAAAGCTAGATTAAAGGCTGTCCTAACAGAAAGAGACTAGACAAAACATGTAGCAAAGTGTTTTAAGGGAAAGAAAATCAGTAATGAGAAGATACTGCACGATACAATCTTAGAACTGCAGTTTATCACAAGGAACATTCCTTACATAGGAGCCACATTTATTCAGTACAAGTTTTCTGGGTTTAATTATTTTAATTACTTCAATTATGAGGAAGATTAAAAACACTTAGGGGATTTTCAAGCATAACAATTAGGGATACTTGTTCCCAAAATTTCTGGATCTGCCTTAGAAAATCTCCCTTCCTCCCTTTCCTATTGGTACTTGTTTATATTGGGAATTAAATCATCCCCCATTATTTTAAGTCTTTGCATCACTCACAGAGGCTAAAATTCCATATTTTTGGGGAGATGTGAGAAAATTTTATTTTCTTGGTGTTTCCAAAATCCAAAGGAGAACAAAAAATATGACAAAGGAAAAAAAAAGAAAAGAAGAAAAACAATCCCAACCAAACACTTGAAAACAGTCCCCTGAAGGCCTGCAAATTACAAGCTTCAGAATTCTTCTCATCTTTTGTTCACCAACAGTTGCTTCCTTGTCCTAACTATTGTACCTCTCAAAGGGAACTACAAAGCACCCAGCCAGTGGAGATGTACACTGGAGTGTCTCTTTATGCCCCACATTGAAGAGGGAGACATTAGTCATCTGGAGATTCTGCCCCGATGCCCAAAGGCATGAAATACCTCCAACAAAACACCGACTGAGATATGTCAGTGTGGCACTCGCTTCGCATCTCCCTCTTGCAGCCTTTCAAGTTGTTTTCTAAACACTTCTTTTGTTGCTGTTGGCATGAGTGCACTTAAAAGCGGCATATCGTTAAGTACTGAAAATGCTCACTGTTTTCTGTCCTTTAAAATCTCTTCCAAGTACTTCCCTGTGAGCAATTAAGCTAACTCTATGGGATACATTTGATAACAGATATTCTTTAGTTTGGGTGACAGTTAACAAGCAGGGCTCTAATGAATAATAAAGTGCTTTTTAGTGACATACAGTCCCTATTCACCCTGAGTAGGGACTATTTTTGTGCAAGTTCAACAGAAGATTCTAACAATGCAACCCTCTTGTATAACTTGCACAAAATAGGCATTCATCAAGGAGGATTACTCTCCCCAAAATGGGGCTCTCAGAAGCTACGTGCTGTGGGTGGGGATGCACAATTCCAGACAGGGGTGGAGACCAAGGAAAAGGCATGGGTCTAGGAAGAAAATGCATGCTGTG